CCCCCTTCCCAAAAACCCTTGTACAACCAAACCAAACCACCACCACCACCAAACACGGGCAGCCCCACTTCGCCCCCCTGTACGCTACTGTATAAATAAAGAACCAACACCAACCAACCCACCCTATCAACAAATCCACCCCCCAAAAAGGTAATTGCAGATTTCAGACAACGACAAGGACCACGGTATCCAAGTTCTTGAGAAAGAAGGGAAAGATCTACTGCTACTACTAGTACAATCAATTCTTACCCTCCGTAGGTGAGGTGAGGTGAGGTAAGGTGAGGTGTTTGACATCAACATACAGCTGTCAACATAGAGTAGAGGATTGGTCAGTTATGGAAGGTATGGTTAGCCTACAATAGCCTAGCCTAGGCATCACCTCAAGCGCCACATTCACGAAAAGGCAATACAAAGCGATAAGACCCAATTCACTACTTCAAGTCCAACCACGGAAATCAAAGACAAATAAGAGGAAATTTTCAAGTCACCATCACAAAACACAGGCATGGAAAAACTTCATCTTCGCAGAACACAAGGAGACTTTTATTAGGTATTATGGTGGGTTGCCCTAATGGCAGATTGCGAAAGGACAGTCTGGGTATAGGGGTATCAATACGCAGCAAAAACGCAGCGCGCAGGACAAGCGGTACAAAAAAAACAAGAACAAACAAAATAAACATCCATCAGTAATGCAAAAATGAGAGTGGTATCAATCAATCTTGGGGGTATTTCAAGGAGATCCGTTTTCCGACGATAATGAACTCGTAGCCATCAAACAAACAACACAATTCGAGGCTTGCATGTATGTGACTTATGCGGAAGCGGTAACTTGAGTGGTGGCTGGGACAGTTGGTGCTTGAGTGGTGGTGTTGGCTGGCTCTTCAACAACTGGGGCAGCTGGTGCAGCCTCCTCCTCCTTGGTCTCTTGGGCCTTCTCAACCTTCTCGGCAGCCTTTGGGGAGGACTTGCCCTTGACGGTAGCTCGAAGCTTAGCGAATGGGGACTTTGGCTTCTCGGCCTCATCCTCGCTGGTTGGCTTCTCCTTCTTGGACAACCATGGGAGGGAAGACTTGCGCTTATCACTCTTAATAACTGGGATATCAGTCTTGGCCTCGCCGTTGGTGGCAGGAGTCTCAGTAGCTGGCTCAGCAATAGGCTCAGCAGCAGCAAGAGGCTCGGTGGATTCGACTTGTGGAATGACTGGAGCATTCTCGCTTACTGCCTCGGTCTCTTCCTTTGCTGGAGCTGGGGTCTCAGTCTTCTTCTCCTTGTTTTGAGAGAATTGAGACTTGAGGGTTCCAAAGATGCTGTTGCGCTTGGATGGAGTTGGCTTGACTGGAGTCTCAGTGGCGGCTGCTGGTTCTTCGGTAGCAGCTGGAACGACTGGCTCACTAACGGCTGGTGTTTCCTCAGTTGCTGGTGTTGGCTCAACGGCGGGGGCAGCAGTCTCCTCTGTTGCTGGAGCGGCAGCCTCCTCTTTCTTTGCACCAAATCCAATACCTCCAAAGATGGATGTACGCTTGCGGGAGGCAGAGCGAGATTTGCGTGCCTTCTCCTTGACATCCTTCTTCTCTTCCTTACCTTCCTCAGCAGAGGTAGCTGGGACAACTGGCTCAACGATCTCTGGGGGTTGAGTAGCCTCCTCAGTCTTCTTTGGCTCCTCAACCTTCTTGGCGGCAACTGGTGCGACAACTGGCTTGGCCAACGCGGCGAGAGCAGTCTTGTATTCCTCGGTCTCCTTGACAGACTCGACAGAGGATTTGGCCTCCTCAATCTTGGTCTTCAAGACGGCAACCCAGTTATCACGCTCAGCCAAGGTGGTGGTCTGGAAAGTGTGCTTGTGTCCTCCAGAGACGAAGTGGAATTCAACGGTGCCTTCCTCAGTCAAATCTGCGACATCGGCCTGTACAGTATTAGTATGATTCAGATGATGTTTTAGACTGTGAAACTCACCAAGTTGAAAAGACCAGCTGGGCTGGCCTTATCAGTGGCCTTCTTGCTGAAGAACAAGAGACCCTTTCCGGTGTGTGCAGCCCAGGCGGCGTTGTGGTTGGCGGATGCGGCATCCTTCTCGCCACGGAGGTAGCTTGACAAAGCCTTGGTCTCAACAGCGTCGGTACGGAAGAAGAAAAACTTCTTTTGGAAAATAAGACCCCTGGTGAATGTATGTTAGCCACAGATCTTAATCTGGAAAGTCGAGGCGGGGAAGTATGAAAAGTCTGCCATGCACCAAAAATGCTTTGGCAAAAGCCCACTTTAGAAAAGGGGGGGTTTATGAATATGTTTCCCGTTCGAAAAAACATGTGGTGATGGTGCTCAGGAGTTGGTGTGACTTACTTGAGAAGACCTGGGCCCTTGTACCCAAGAACGCCCTCCTCGACTGGCTTAACCTCCTCCTTTGCTGGAGCAGCAACTTCAGCCTCCTCGACCTTTGGGGCCTCGGTGGAAGCAGGGGCCTCAACGACTGGCGCAACTGTCTCCTCTGCTGGCTTTGGGGTCTCCTCGACCTTGGGAGCTGTAGCGGGAGCTGCAGCAGTGACTTCAGGGGCGACTACAGGAGTCTCGACGGGCTTTGGTGCTTCAGACATCTTGAATGGATTTGTTTTTTTGGTGAAATGGTATTACAAGAGTATTGAGATGAAAAGGGACTCGTGAAGGGGCAGAGTGGGTTGAAAAGGTAAAGAAGAGAGATGGTGTGGGAGGAGTTTTGGAAGATGGCCCAGAGCCTGAGTTTTATTCAGAAGAAGGGACAGGGGACGTGAAATTACTGGCCCCCCAAACAAGCCTAGCGGGTCATCCATGCTCGTGCCTACCCTTCCACGGAAAGCGCAACCCTTGACGGCGACTGCCCTCTGTGCCCGTAGCCACCCCTGCACCTCTCGGCTCGAATTCCTGTCATGCACGCCCGGCCAATCAGGGGCCGGGTAGAAATAAGGAGCGCCCAGCAGCAAATGATGGCCATTATCAATCTACCAACATCGCTCCACTGCCTCCACCGGCACCTTTAACTTTGGCGACCAGCCCAATCAGTGTCAAACGTATCGAATGTCCGTGAAGAAATCCATTGCGCGTTGAGATGATCTCCGTTGAGAGCACAGAATGGGCGCTTGAGCAGAGTGCCAGAGGGCCAGAGGGCCAGAGGGCCAGAGGGCAGACAGAGCACGCTCAATACTCGTACGGCGTCGGCGTCTCATCCTCAATATTCTGCACAGGCTCAGGCACCGCGCAGGCTCGCAGCGCGTTGACTCGATGTGCAACCGTCGTAGGTTTAGCGCTATTCAGATATTCAGACCGAGTGTAGAGTACCTAGGAACGGAGTACCTAGCGTCTGTCTGGGAGCGTCTCTATGGTAGCGCCTCTCTGGTGTGAGGTTTATGGTTATGGGTTATGGGTTATGGGTTATGGGTTATGGGTTATGGGTTATGGGTTATGGGTTATGGGTTATGGGTTATGGGTTATGGGTTATGGGTTATGGGTTATGGGTTATGGGTTATGGGTTATGGGTGATTATGGGAACTAGTCAGAGCACCGACCGTCCAAAGGGCTCCTCCTCGTCCACCTCCACCACCACCACCCACCACTAGGTCAACCGCTACTCTTACAGTACGAGGACGATGCGATGCGGATGCTCAAGTAGAAATCTCCTTTGCGAGTCAAGCCAACACCATCTATCTCCCACAGTCTTCATCTACCACGGTATGCTACGGAATGCGAGCCTCTCCCACACTGGATCTTCCCTCTCTTCAGTGCTCCAGTGACGTTGTTTGAGCGGTGGGCATGAAGAGTTTCTGCTTAACCTTTCCCCTCAAGCCCCGGTACCCTGGCGGGTGTTGGGCCAAATGATGAAATTAGCACCTGCAAACCAAAAAAAGAGGGTAAAAAAATGTACTTCGGAGAAAGAGGGCGGCCAACAAGTACTCGTACGCAATTCCGCAAGCCCAAGATCGACAGAGTTGATCATGCGACAGCAGTAGTGATAGCGAACGACCACAAACCCACGGCATCACCACCACCACCTTCAAAAAGCCCTAGCGAGCCCTCTCACCATCCAACCTCGCGCAACCCCACCTACACGACCTACGCCACCTCAACCCCCTCAACCCCCTCAATCCAGGCCGAATCGAGCCTACGGCCGCGAGGGAACGTCGGGGATTGGACGTCGCTTGACCTCTAGAGAGATACCAGACGACAAGAATCGGACGAGCAGCAATTATCTGGACGCCCTTCTTTCTTCTTTGCCACAATGCACCCCCCTTTCCCCCTCCCCCCTCCTTCTCGTACATTATATTATTGGTCTTCGATAGACGACGTTGCAGCATCAACATCATAGGCAGGGCTTGCATCTGCATTGCATCGCACCCATGCACTAGTACCACAGTACAATCCCTCCACAAAACACTAATTCCCTTCGATATGACGCTGCAGAAACATTCAAGAAAACGGCGTTTCCACTTCTGACATGGGAATACCCATCACATGGCACGGCAGCCCGATATCACGCCTTCTCCTGACTTCCTAGACGCTTGATGTAGTAAAGTAGGTACCGGTATTCACAGACGGAGCCGTTGAATTCATCCCGAATCACTTTGGTCCCATCTTCATGTGCTGCCCACGGCTACTTCATAGCACGACGGTCTGTATACATCACCTGCATTTACTCGGTACATTCAAGGGGGTTAGACCAGCCAGCAGCAGCATCCGGGTGACCCTGCCCGATCCCCACAAAGGTATCGGGAATTTCGCAAAGTAAGATAAGACAGCCTTGCGAGATCACTTTTTGCCACAGAACAAACATTCTCCCGTCCTCATGATGGCCGGTTTACGAAGTACAAGGGCTTGGTTCAATTTCTTGTCTGGACGTTTCCAAAGATTATGGCATCAACTCATCAAGACCAGGCCGTCAATAGTCGAAGTACCCGTGCAGTACTGTATTAACCGTCTTCCAATCTGCACGTGCCAAGATGGTGTCAAAAAAGTGGTGTGATTGGTCTGTCGCAAATGTTGCATTAATCACCGAAAAGGTGTTTCGTTTCAGCAAAGAGATCTTTGAATATGAAATACGGCATGAAAACGAGGCGATCAAAACTACGAGTAGAATCTTCGCCCCTGCGCAGAAAACTCGTCACTTATTTCGCGGATGAAGAGAACAAATTGCAGATATTGTACTTCTACCTCTCTTGTGTTGTTGAGATAAGACTCCGAAAATAATGCGCCTAGAACGCCACAAAAACCGAAATCACCAAAGACTTACTGTACGACATGTAGGTACGAAGTACGTACCGCTACCCACGAAAAGAATACCCCTTGGCGCAAGTGCAAGTACCCCGTTTTTTCTCATCTCAGAATCTCAGACCGTCCGGCCTGCGCACAGACGACTGTAATGCTAAATCTTTTTAGCATGCTTCCATAACAAGCTCCGGCAGAAATTCTCCAAACAAAGCAACGATCCACTGAAGAATGCTTACTTGGGCCTAGGTGAGACAACTATGATTTGACGTCCAGTCAATTTGGTTCATCGCCAAGCAGCGTACAGGTTCTGGATACGAGTATGTACACCTCCCATTATCCAAAGATCCGTGTTCTCAACTGTATATGAGAACCCATTTTCTCCTTTTTTGGGAGGGGATCTTATCTTCAATACGGATTTCGAATTTCACAGCGAATGAGATGGATAATTTGATACTTGGCACCGACACCAGATATGTATCCGAGGTATGCGCGTGCACATTTTCTTACTTGCACTTCCACCTTACTAATACTAAAGGAGTAACAGGCTTACAGTATGCTTTTGTCCTACCATTTCGTCTCTCCACCTCGTAGTCACGCTGGCTCGTCCCCTCGCGTTATGATGCGTTGCTGTACAGCTATCGATCAGTGATGGGGAAATCCGTCCGGCGTTGCCTTCTTTGTGGGAGTTCAATATTACTACGAATGTACTCCGTAGTGTATGAAGCGTGGTGCTGCCAACATCTGCCAGGCACATCATCCATCGCCCGTCGATTTGGTTGTCTAGTTCCGGGACGTGGGATGGATTAGCTCATTTGGAGTACTACGCACGCGACTGCAGGAGTCAGGACAGCATACTGCAGTCTGCAGTATAGGGAAAAGGAGGCATCAATACGGAGTATTAGTTGTACGACAGGCATTTCGGGCAGGACTATGGAATTGATAAGAGGGTATTTTCCTGCGTATTCCTTCCCTTTTTTCCCCCTTCCCTTCCCTTCTCTCTCACTTCTTTTTTCTTTCCTGGGACTTGGACTTTTTCTATCTTCCTATCTTCCCGTCCTCCTGTCTTCCTCAACCAAGAGAGGAAAGAAGAGAAGAGAGGAGGGGAAGAAGTACCGTACCCTATTCCAACGATCGGTATCCATGGTATTTCACAACTGGCTTGGAGGGAGAGGGGGCGATGGGATCATGGGATCGCATGGGATCGCATCGCGAGGAGGTAAGCTAGCTAGGCTAGCTAACTGACTAAATGACTAAGTAACCGCCACGATTACTTTACCTAAACCTCACCGCTTCTGATGGGGAATCGGGGCTAGAGAGGAATTGTCGATGGAGACTTGATTATTGATGAAGACTGGATTATTATGATATTATTCGATTGTTTTCTTTTCTCCTGCTTTTTTCTAAGATACGATAAGAGGTATGGGTTTCTGGTCGGCTACGAGAGGGAGGGGTAGGTATTTAGCTCTCTAATAGAATTACCTACTTTGATTTAATTAGAAGTAATAAGATGTGATATGGGAGAGTTGAGGGGATTTGAATGAGATGAAAGATCTAAGATGAAGAAATAAAATAGAATCGATATAATTTCTTTCCTTATACTTCTCCTATCTCTACCCTTTTTATTAATCTTTATCCCTCTTCCTTCCTTCCTTCCTTCCTTCCTTCCTTCCTTTCTTTCTTTCTTTACTTCTCCTATCTCTCTTTCTGTATCTTTACGAAATTCCTAGCTTACCCAGACCTAGGCGCCGATACGATATCTATATACTATGTACTATACAAGTACAAAGAAAATACCGGGATATTAAATCTTTGTTTTTGTTTTTCTTAGGAGCTCTTTCTTTCCCTACCTAGAAATTAGAATCTCTTTTCTTGAAAGGGGAGTAGGGGTAGGGGGGAGGGGGGAAGAATATATTTAGATTTTAAGAATAGCTTCTTTTTTAAATACTAGGTTTATATATAGGTAGGATACAGTATTTCAATAAACTACCCAAGTTAATTCGTAAACGTAACTACTCGTCGTCTCGAGTAGTATATACTTAAGTAGTTTTCTATAAATAGTTTAAAGGGTAAAATTCAATTACCTAATGATATATTTATCCTGGATAAGGAATTAATAAATAGCTAGGATACAAAAAGGGAGATGGAGCCCTGTAGATGACGAGATTAACGAGATTAGCTCTCTAGCCTTCCTTATTACTTAACTTAACGTATTTTAGACGTAGCGACGTTAGATAAATCCTTCCGCGGTCTACGGGTTAAGCTGTTGAGTGAATTTTGAATATTTGGTTTATCTTACTATTGTCCTTACTATTGTCCTTACTATTGTTGTCCTTAGTATATTATCCTGATAATCGGTGGTGAAGGGGAGTGAATTCAAATCTTTTCCCTACCTACCTAGTCAGTCTAGTCTGGTCTACTATACCTAACCGACCTGTTTTGTATCTCGTTGTAAATTGTTGGGGATCGGTGGGTTGTGCTGTCCTGTGCTTTTTTTTTTGTCAAGAGACTTTTTGGGGGTTTAGTGAGGGGATGGGGGTGGGGTAGGGGGGGTTGTTGAGAGTAGGATGAGATGAGATGAGATGGTGGGTTTTCTCTGGGATTTTTGGGGGGAGAGAAGGGGAAGGGGAGGGGGTGGGTGGTGGTTTTGAGTTTTGGTTTTATGGGTATGGATAGTGGATAGTGGATAGTGGATAGTGGATAGTGGATAGTGCTGGAGATACGGTAGTTCTCTAGGGTATGAAGTGAGGTTTTCTTTCTTTTTTTCCCCTTTTTTAGAGGGGAAGTATGGGGATATGGGGATATGGGGGGTGGGGATGTGTATTTTGCGTGTATGAATGGAGGGGAGAGAGGAGATGGGTTGAGAGGGGATTGTGAGGGTGGGAGGGGTTGAGTGGGAATTATGAGGGTGTTGTTTGTTATTGTTCTTTTGATGAATTGATGGTAGTCGATCATTTGGGGTTGTATGAAATTATCTCATTCCTTGAATCTCACTTTTTTTCTTGGTGTGTAATCCGTATGAGTGTCTAGATTTTAAAACAGGAGCTAGCTAGCTTTTGCTCTACTCTACCGAAATCTTGAGAAGATCTTGTTATAAGGTATTTAGATACGGAGTTAAAGTATAAGAGAGTTGGTTTCTGCTATAGGTAGTTCTTGAGAATCGGATGTGCTGGGGTTTATTGTGTAGTTGAGTTGGTTGTTCGAGGTGACTTGGGGTAGGAGATGTTTATTGGGTTTGATTTTCTTGAGTTGCTGGATGGATTATTTGGGTGTGGGTTGTGTGGGGCTTTTTTTTTGGGGGNGGGGGTGTTTAGAGGATGATGCTGTTTGTTAGTGTGGAATGTATTCTTGAGGTGAGTGGGTATGGAGGGTTGTGATGAGAACTCTTCCTGGGTAAATTTATTGCTATATATGTTTGAAGAATGCGAATGGGAGTTGGGTTGCGAGTGTATCTAGCCTTTATAGTTCTTATTGTGTAATAATCAGTGCGTCTTCCCTTCACGCTGTCGCTATTAAATGGTGCTTGAGTCTAGAGATCATACTGGGCATATTTACATCGTTTTGGCTAACAGAAGAGCTCATTCATTTCTTCGTTTGAACTCTGGCGAATGACATCCTGTTGTTGTTTTTTTGGTCAGGAGAGCTGATTTTTCATATGTAGGTTTTGGGGAGTGGCTATGAAGATATCATGTTCTGGTTGGCTCGCTTCCCTGTGTTCATGATGGGCGGAATTTGAATTGGGGATTTTGTCATGGAATTATTTTGGTGATGTGAAGAGATGTGTTTTTGGGATGTTTATTTAAAGCTGAAGTAGCTCTAGCTAATTGTGTGAATATTGAGTACTGTTGGTTTGACTTTATTGTCAAATATGAGGTGTAATACAGGAAGAGGCTAAACCTTAGTATTAGACTATTCCTATTGTTGATGCACACCGAGTCGAAGGTGTGGAAGTCGTACTACGATAATATAGGTAGGACTAGCCTAGTTAGGTAGTCCGTGCTACCGAGTATATTTACTCGGATATTATAGCGACAAGTACAATATATCTTGCTACTATCTTGTGGTTTTGTGGAGTTCTTCCTTCCCTTCGTGGGTCCAAGTCGCGACTTCCTTCCCATAACAATTGAATCTTCCTTGCCAACACTCAGCCTTCTACACTCAGCTCATAGCGTCCGAACAACAAAACTCCTTACCAAGATTATAATTATTGCGGTATCTTTTGACACGGCATTCTTTTGCAATACATCCTTACCAATTCGAATCATTTCCTCCAAAAGTATTCATCGCTTCAACATCTTCAGATCTTCTCAGATACACTCTTTCAGGAACCCAACAGACATCTGGATATTCCTTCTTGGGTGGTGCACTGCAGAATCTTTACCACCAGCATTGCTTTCAAAGTCCACCTTGCATTCTTTACAGCCTCTTTTCCAGACCAACTTCGTCACGTTCAGAACTTCAGATCTACCTTTCAGTTTTACTACTCAACAATTCACTTCTGAAAGACTCCGCTTCACGGAGTGCTGTTACACCGTTGACAATAGGCAGAAGCCTTGCTAGTAGAATCTATCAACAAGCTATCAACAAGGCTGGGTCTATTGACAATCCATTGCTAGTTCCAGCTGGTTCTCACCCTGGCTGAATTGGTCTGTGTGTTCAGGAAGAAAGTTAATATATTATTGGATTCCGCCTTCCTCTGACTCAACTCCTCTTCAACCACAACAATATCTTCAACCTCGAGTATTACTCAACCACAACTCTCCCTACACTCTAGCTATTGTTACATCTCAACTACTCTGACTCATCTACTTTCCCTTCCCCACAATTGCACTGCAACTTGCATTGCTGTTGTCGTCATCTTTACCTTTTGTCCTCGTCACTTGAGGCAATTGAATTGATCTCCACTTCGCTATCCTTTGCACTTGAAATACTTGTATTTCAACTCAACCCAACTCAAATTTAATGCATGACCCGTTAGAAACTATCAACTTCACTTACTCTGCAAGTTTGGTACAGTTGAACTTTCCCTGACTCCATCTACCTCACGTTCGGCGTACTGTACGTGAGCATTCATCTCAACTACATTGCATCAAACCATTCTCAAAAAGACCACAACTGACTTCACCATTCAGAAACACCGACAAAATGGTCAAGGGGACGGTTCCAGATACGCATAAACTATCCAAGAGGTCTAGGGCACAGAAGAGAAGACGAGATGCGCAGCTCAATAAGCCCTTCCCGAAGGATCACAACCCGCATGAGTGGGTTGACAAGGAGATTCATGAGAACTCCTTGAAGTACTTCAATACGGATCCTAACAACACGAACTGGGAAGATAATCTGAGAGCCAAGATGATGGAGCCTATGCCGTTACAGCCATGGGTTGATACGACAAGTCCAAAAACAGAAGAGGAGATTGTCAAGGAACGAGTCACAGAAGCTCTCAAGGATTGGCCCTGGAGAGAAAGCAATAGGCAACCTATTATGATTGGCCCTCATATGTTTAATAACATGCCTCGAAGCGAAGATGATATTCGACCACCTGTTGAGGCTGGTGAAGGCTGTGATCAAAAACAAAGTCTCTTCTTCACTAAAATTGTCGCTCACGCAGATATCTTTTCGATGATCATGAAATTAGTGTGTGCTCATCATGATTCGGCTTGGAAGTTTGGGGCTACTTGCATTGAAGCTTATAACCAGATGGTTTACTCTTTCATGGTAAGATATGTTCAGCTCTTCCCAAATTTCCTGGATGGCCTTGGGATGGATACCGTCTATCTGAACATCCTGGGATAGACAATCTTATCAAGCATTTCTTTTCAAATGTCGCCAAAATTGAATATACGCTAACTTTCACGTAGGACTTCTGGGACATGTCAAAAGGCTGGTTTAACCAATGCTCCCGCACAAAAGAACTCAAAGACGAAAATAACAAGGTCTGCAATCGATCCGTATGCCCAGTCCTCATCGTCTCTGCAACACGTCACCAAAGTCTGAAAAGCCCCAACAAACCACGACCAAGTTACAGAACCCAGTTGAATAGCATGTTCAAACTTTGTAAGTGGCTGCCATCTCCCATCTCCTATCTCAATCTCCCTAATGGGCATGAAAAAAAATAGGCAACGCTGTTCGCAACGTTCATGATAACATCCGAACCCTTCATTTCCACAACGTGCCATTTCTCACTGACAGTATACTTGCTTTGTTGATCCCGACCATGCGCAACTTGACCAATCTTGGTGTTTACAAATGTCAGCTCTTACATATCGGGCATGCTCTTCCTCTCCTCGGCATTATTACTCTCGACCGCCCTAAAGGAAAAGAGCACCAAGTAAACCTCGATTTCTACCCCAACTTCCACATCGGTCCCGTCGAAACCGGTAAGCCGTGGGAGATGGGAGGGTTTGGTGTTACGTGGGACAATTGGAATCGAGACTCTCGTCTGGCCATTTGGCAGCTGGTTTCGCATATCTTACCAAGAGCTAGAAGTCAGGGTATAGATATGGAGTCTCCTTGGACTGGGTTCCGAAAGTGGCTTGATGATGGCCCTTGTTGGAGGGTTGAGCAGACTTTGAAGGTAATGATGGATCCGAAGGTTGGGCCGAGGGAGTTTGCAGCTCAGGTTGATGCCGGGAATATTTTACATCATGGGAGTGTAGAGATGATGTTCAATTATAAGAGGACTATTCTATCGGGTGGCATGGAATGGTGAGTTCGCCCCTTCCTTCTCTTTTCTGTTATTGTGTATCGAGTATCTCCATATGCATGAACATTACGCAATCTTTCCCGACAAGCTAACAAACGTACACAGGGCTGAAAGTGTCTACGATTGCGCTCACTGCGGTCCCAATCTCGGCATCTTCTTCTTCTACCTTGAGATCCGAAACCAACGAATCTTCAGCGAGCAACCTACCTGTCTGGGCTGTCAACTAACCATGGTCCTAGATGGAGAAAAAGACCACTTTAAATTCCATAAACGCAAAATTATCCGAAATTGGCTTTCTAACATTCAACTCAACGACGACGGCAGTTCAACTCGCGTATGGAACTACAACAACCTCGCGCAAGCTATCGCCGAGTTCCAAAACGAAAAGAAGAATAAGCGAGGCGGGAAGCTCAAGAATCCGGATTCCAACACCAGGAAGAATATTAAGGAGTGGGGGACGTCGTTGGATGAGATGCGTCAGAAGTGGATTGAAGAGAAGGAGTGGGATCGAGAGGTAGAGGAGAGACAAGAGCCATATACCAAGGATGAGATGGGGAGACGCGGAGAGAAGATGAGGAGTCCGCGGATTGGGGATAAGAAGCAGGATCCGATGGTATTGCCGCCAGAGGAGAGAAAGTGGCATGCTGTCAGGGCGGATGAGAGATATGCGCATGGGTATATGTGGTGATTTCCACCCTGGGATTGCCAATGTTGGTTGGAATATGGCTGGGTTATTCGACTGTTACGAGCTTCTAACATTCCTTGCAACAAGCATCTCTCATACGTCTAACCAACTTTCGGACAACCACCTATCCTTCCGTCAATTCCTCGCAAAGAAATACGGACCAATGACTGCAGCTCTCAGCAACTCTCGAACAAACTTCCGTCTCCACGTCCCAAGGAACCTAACACTAAAACGACAAAATCTCACTGCAAACCGCACCCCCTCATACATACCCTTCCCCACCAACCCCCATCAACCCCTCACACATCCCCCATAGATCCCCTACCAAAACATACAACTGCCCCTATCCTACCAATACACCCAAAAAATCATCTTCATCACTCCCCTCTTACCCGCACACTCACCTAGCAAGTTTTCCTTTTCTCCGCTACCTACAGCTCCCCCCCTTTTTTGTAGTTTAGCTTCAAGCAAGAATTGCACAACATCACAACATCACACGCACATAGAACAACACAGCATCGCACATAACCTACCCCCTAGAAAATCGGAGTGTAGGTGCGGAGATGGGGTGGTTTGTAAGGTAGGCAGGTAGTTATCAATATTAATAGCGTTCAATACGATACCATTCCATACAAATACCATACAAAGACATACGAATCCTATGATGAAGGTCAGGTATAACTCAATTATGTTAGTCTTCTTTGTTTTGTTTGTTTTGATGGTTTATTAGTAAATGCTGCTATTGGTGAAGAATTGAGATTTCTCGGTTATTTCCAAGGGGGAAAGGGAACGAGACAATATAAATTATCTGATTAGAGCATTAGATTCTTTGCTGGCTACCTATCCGCGGATTAGGGAGCTTAGGACTAGGGCCAGGGCCAGGACCAGGGCCAGGGTATAGGTTGGTGGAATATTTGAACCAAGTCTACTGCGTTGTTGCTGTGTATGTAGCGATTAGCGAGAAGTGTACGAGTAGCCCAAATAATCGATTCCGAATGAAATGAATAAAATGAATGAATAGCGCTCGACCTCGGCCAGGCGAATCTTTTTTGGAATCGAGGGATCACGATCATGATATGGGTACTGTATAAGGAGAGGTTTGGGAAGAGATTTTGGGGTAGGTTGTACGTTTTTTTGGTAGGTATTGAGTCTTGAGGAATGAGTAGAAGAGAATATATGGTATATACAGAAATATGAAAGTTACCCAACCAGATCCCAGATCCCAGATCCCAGATCCCAGATCCCAGATCCCAGATCCCAGATCCCAGATCCCAGATATCAGAGACCCTATATCAAGGATAGGAAATTAAGCCCAAAAAGACCGAGAAGTAATATATACCAACAACATCCTACACGCCTCGTTCCTTTCTTTCACCTACCCTTTCCAATCGTGATGAATTCATAAAGCAAGGTGAATCATGGGTTTATGCAAAGCGTGGTGCTTTGCCTTTACTCTCGTCCTGATGGGAGCGCAAGGGGAGTTGGCGATCGAGCGTGTTGAACGCGAGGGTTCGTGGGGTGTATGGGACGGACGTTGGGTTCACGCGAATGTTGGTTTCGGAGCCGTTGTCGGATCCGTTGCCGTCTTTCATTTGCATCTCGTCGACGTCCATCTTATCGGCGGCTCGTTGGGCGGCTGAGGGGATGCATGACCAAACTGAGAGGATGAGGTTGGCGAGGAAGATTACACTGATGTTTTTGTTAGGGATGTGTGTGTAGATAAGAAGAGACGGGTGGACTTACACCATGATAACTGTTACTGCGAAAGTTCCTTTGGCCATTAGGCAGTAGTGTTTTAGCTTGCTGTCTGGTGCAAAGTCACAGCTTTTGTTGATGTACCAGGCTGTGCTCGAGGGTCTTCGTGGATCCGAGTTGTCGGGTCCTGCTTGGCCGTAGACACTTGCTACGTACAATCCGACGAGGACTGCATTGGTGATTGCTGATAGAATTGGGTACCAGACGTGCAGGGAGAACATGACGGCCTTGACAATCATGATGAACATGGATAAGACTGATATCGCGACGTTGAAATCCGTCAATCTAGAAATCTGTTAGCGATTTGAAGCCAAAAAAAAATGCAGGTGTGGGGTTGAAGCTTACGCCTGTGACCAGACAAAGGGTGTTGATGGGATGGGTCGGTGGTTGGCATATGCGTAGAGGATCTGCTTAGGACTCGAGTTGAAGCCATTCTCCGCGCCCACCTGCCACAAAGCGGTCCGATATAAATTTGGAGATGCGATTCCGAAGAGCGATAGGACTGCTACTGTTCCTGCTAATTCCAACAACAAAAGACCCCACCAGACCTTGGGGTGCTTCCATTTCCGGGAAATATGAGGTAGTCCGACCATGATTGCTGAGAGAATGTGCTGACGTCCGGGTCTCTCGATCAACGAGGTTCCAAGTGACGAGGACAAATATGTTATATATGTTATCGTGGTTTATGGAATTGGGAATCGGATCGAATGGTCGCTGGCGTAAAGGGAGATGGATGTCGAGTGTTCGACTTCGTCGTCGGGCGAGAGCTTCACATTGACAGTCAGACGGAAGGGAGAGCGGCTTTGCTGGGGGCGGCCCCCCATTATTATGAGGAGGCAACACATCCTTTCAATGGCTGAGGGAGGGGACGTTTCTTTGGGTTGCAGCAGCAGCAGCGGCAGCACACCGCAGCCGCCCAATAGCTGCGCGACAAGGTGATTGGGGATGGCAGCGCTTACATGCAGCAGAGCGATGTGAAGAGAACCCAGTGCGGCCAATCAGGAGGGAGCATCAAGCCCAGAGAGAGAGCGGAAAGCACGCTTGACCCAATGGGATCAATGGGGTCTGGAAAACCAGGCATCAATGGCCCCCCCTCACAAGGCACGAAGAAATTCATCGACTCCACCAGCCGAGTCGCCCACTCCACTTCATCCCTCCCCTCTCTCACGATCAGCACCAGCATCTGCCGACCGATGGAGCATATGTCCCCATTATTCCCGAATGTTCGTTTTAACGCTGTGCAATGTGATGGAGCTGTGATACCTCCTTCACACCCATATATTCCACCATCCGGGGTGGTTGCATTGATGTTGCACTCCAGAGTCAGCGTGTTGGTACAGTAGCAAGCGCTCAGTCCAAACCTCTCTCCTTCATTGCCGGCCCAGGTCAGCAAAGTCTTCGCGGCCCTTCCCTTCCACAACGCCTTTTCAGCATCTGACAATTCTCCATAATCATCACCACTCACAACCCGGCTGTATTCCGAGAATAATTACTTGCATAACGCCAGTATGCTTCAAGCCCACTCTGTCAGCATCTCCATCAGCAATGGCCTGGTAGAATTCCGTCCTATCAGACCCCGAGTTCCAACAGGGAGGGCAGTAATCTGCATACCACCTTCGACCCGAAGCAGCCATTCCGGGTCAATGACTTTCCTTGAGCTCATGCTATTGGTTCAAATGCTGTCGCGATTCTGGTAGCGAGATGTACGAGTATTGCGCACAGCATTCTCCATCTTTTCTTCAAGCTTTTTATAGTTCGGTGTTGGTTGCAGCTTGAGCTCGAGCTTCAGGTACAGATTGACATCGTACGGAAAACTCCTTTGAGCCGCGAGAGCTTCGTTTCGCCGCTACTTGGTCTTGGTATGGCTCATGTTTATTGAGGCGTTCGCGTACCTTGTTCGAGGGGCCGAGAACAACTTTCAAGAATGAACTTGCTGGCTGTCGAAAGTGTTGAAAGAGAAACCGGTGATCCGCTCAAGGAAAAAAGACTGGCCTTGTAGATGTGCATCACATTTTTTCCCAGTATGGACTTTTCCTGAGGTTCTCCACTGTTCACCTATGGAGAGATCACGTTTTCCATAGATGGATAGAAAGTTGAAACATGCGTGCGCTTTCCGAGCTCAATCATTGCACCCACTGGTAACATCACAAGCAACAGAATGTATCTCCGCCCAGGTTGTTTTGCAATATGAGAGGCCGTCATTACTCTGAACATAACTACGGTGGAACGAAATTATCCTGAAAGTCCCGCACAACTAAAATGGTTGTACGAGCGATTTAGGACAATTGAAATCAGTAGGTAGAACTTTGTTGACCTCAGTCATTTGGGACAATTGAGTTCATCGTATGAGGATTTTAGAACAATAGATTATTGAAGTATGTTCAGAGTATTAGCCAGCTTTCTTACCTATCAATTGTTTCTGCTTTCCTTCACGACTTGGGGACTCAACCGAGTTTTGAAAGTCAGTTCGGGAAGGGACGATTGAAATTATCAGTCCGACTACCCCAATTCTGACCTGACATGGCCGTCTCAGACAGATTGGTGAGGGTGAGGAAGGATGCCGCCTAGTGCTTTCCCAAACTGTCTACTATTCTCATAGCTATCCCTGGCTGCATTTTTACATTCATTTCGACAAACTTGCATCCATCAGTCAGTTCTTTTGATTATCCATACATCACTTATCCCACACAATGTTAGGACCGCAAGCTTGTACCCGCTTTGAACGTCTCCCAGAGGAAATCCTTCGTTATGTCCTCTTGGATATCGATTCCATACCATCGTTATACAAGCTAATGCAAGCAGTTCCAACTGTCGTTCACTCCTGTATAGCAATATTCGATGAACTCATAGGCAGAATTCTCCGCAGGTCAATAGACGAGGAGTTACGATGCTATCTCTATGCCATTGTCCAAGCACAAGCAGTGGGACGCATGAGTGCATATGACCTTGGATTTTTCCTCGATACTCACTTCGAGATCTCAAACCCCAATAAAATCCCAGAAGAAATCCCACGTTCGCTAAGAACCATCGAATACATGGCCAAAGTACTCGCGGCGGTCGATCATTTCTCAACATTGTGTCCTGAGATATGGTCCTGGTGCGGCTGCGTTGGCTTATATAGCAAACCCATCCTGCCATTGACAATGTGGAAAAACAAATACCAAATTCGTCGCGCTCTATTTCGATTCCAACTCTATTGCGAACTCTTCCACAAACCCGGACAGGAGATTCCTGACAGACCTTACGCCCACACCTATTCGCACTGGGGCTGGGAGGAGAACTGGGACGCTCAAGAACTCTTCTGGCTGCGCTACGAGGCATGGGAGATTGAAGAATGCAAATCGATCTACTACACCCTAATCTTCCATCTCGAATACGTAACCAAAACCAAAGACCACCTTCTCAGTTGCTGCATCAGGAACCGCTCACCGTACAGCAAAACCAACATCCGAGGTCTCCCAACCATCGCTGCATCCCTGAATACCACATGTGTAGCGAGCCTCCCACCCTTCCAACAAGCCTACCTCGAAATCCTCCTCCAGAGACCCTTCTCCGGCTTCCGCATTACCGACCCAGACGATCTCGGCTATTTCTCCCACCGCATCCCTAATATGTTCCATGACCCCATCCCCCGAGCAGATTACCGCACGAGTCGAACGAGGAGGTGGGCGCCTAGTCCCTTTCCGGGTGTTACTTTGAGACAGCTCTGTCTTGCTACGTACGGATGCAATACTGTTCCGAGGGAAGTGCGGCGATTGAATACGACTGCGAAGCGCCGGCAGGTCTTGAGGTATCTCGGATGGTGTTTTTGGGATCGCAGGGATTTGGCGGAGTGGGCTTTTTTTGGGGCGAGTTTGTGCGAGTTTAGGAAAAAGAGGGGGAATGAGAGTTGGTTTTCTGAAGGAGAGGGGGGTGAGGGGTGATCTTGGAAGGGGGTTGTTGGGTTGTTTGGATATGCATGTTTGGGAAAGTGGGAAGGGAGAAGGTGGAAGAAGGATGTCGGTGTTGTATACTTTGTTTTTTGTACTAGCGAAAAGAGAACCTCTGTAATTGAGAGATTCAAGGACTCTCCTCCATTTTACTCTGAATAGCGTACTCGTACTATACCACCAACACTCAACGCGAGAATACCAAAGGACAAATCATCTGATTCCACCCAAGTCGAGCCGAACAGGCCGTTCCTACGTAACTAATTTCCTACAGCAGATGTCGCCCCGTCTTCTAGACATAAGTTTTGCCACTATTTCACAACACACTCGGTATCTGAATCCTCATCACGAACCAAAAGGGGAGGCGTATAAAAACAAACCTACACTTCTCGGCGGAATGTTTTTCCCGCTACTTAGGCACTTTGCGATCCCATCGCTTTCCGCACTTATCGGGCTAAACTTGCATTCGACACAACCATATGAGCTAGGGGCTCTTATGAGACCTTGACATGCATACCATGTCGCTCCATCGTGGCCTTCGCCCGAATCGGAAATTGGAAATCAATGACTACTTTGTCTAAATAGAAGAAGGAAAGATGAAGACCTACATCTGGCCATTGACAGTATGACCATCTGTAACCGGTGCCGGCGGCACTGACACTCGTTGCGATGGAAGTGATGAGAAGGAGAGGGCGGATGTGCATTGGGAGAGGGGATGAGAAATTCCTTTTTTTTTTCGGTAGGGTGATGAAGAGGGTTTAAAGGGAAGGGTTTTTATGTCTTTACTTGTAGTGAATCGTCTTGGAACTGTAGGTAGTAGATTTCGTACCTCGCTACCCTTTTATATAACTCCTCCTCGCGATATATATACTGTACATTTCGCTTTTTGAGTTTGCCATTTCCTATTCAAGCCGTCGGAGAGGTCGGAATAATACCTAGGCGCGCTACGGGGCTTGGCCCGACTGGCTCCGCACCAATTAGGCTATACTATTGTTGGGTACCAAGACTTGAAGTGGGCTTTGTTAACCTGAAATTCGAAATGTAAAATTATATAAGGTATGCCACGTCCAAGAGATAGAAAGTATAGTAATAGGTATTCATCCCACCGGTCCGAACTTTCGTATCTAGCTCCAACCCTATAAGCTAAACGCTGTTTTTTTAACTTTCTCATGCTGTAATGTCGATGTACTCTATTTGGAACCTGCCTAGGGGGAGGGGGTTTACGCGGTTACTAACCTTGGCTACCCTAGTCTAGTACGCGGTTTTGTTTTAGTCACATTCGAATTATACTCTCGTGCCACTGGAGTAGATGTGATCGCATAGGTGTAACTGGGGTACAGAGCCAGTAAGAACAGTACATTTTAGGCCCTGGTCTGTTAAATTTAGAGATTTCGTAGTATCCGGTTATCTAAAAAGTCTAGATTTCGCCCTGTAGCGAGACTCTCCTAATAATCTACGTCTACTTAGTAGGTAGGTATCTTCAAGATTCTACCTTAGTATAACCAAGGGCTCCGGGGCTAAAAAAGATAACCTAACTAATTAGAAAGTATAGAGAAACGTAAAAAAGAAGGGATAGAGAATATTATAAGGTAGGAGTTTAGATTTACTTATATATAATAGGGTACCCTTGTAGCACTTGCTGCTTATATCTACTTTATCCCCTCAACACTTTATATGTACGTCCAGCGTTTTAGGTTTGAGATACCCACTTTTAGACTTGGCCCTCGACAATAGTAGTAATTGGTTGGTGCGGAGAAAGTCGGGCCAAGTCCCGTAGCGCGTCTAGGTATTATTCCCATCGCTCCGACCGCTTAATTAGGAAATCGCAAACGTAAAATGCTGGACGTACATATAAAGTGTTGAGGGGATAGTGGTTAAAGAGTGTAATTCGAATAAGACTAAAACGAAACCGAGTACGCCCTCGCGAGAGTTACGCCAGCGTGCCGAACCGCCTGCGAGTGCTTTTGCCGAGTCCTAGCTATAAGAGCTGGAATCTTTGATTGCAAATACGGTCACATAAGCTGTAACGCCAAACAGCACTTCGCTCTACAGCATTTCACTTTACACACGCTGTAACTATAGCCCTTCGGTTCAAGGACCCTGCTCCTACTCCTAATCCGACATACGAAGCTGTAACTACTGCACCTAAACCAATCTCCAAAGCTGTATCTACAGCACTTTGCTCCAAGAATCCTACTCCTGCACCTGTACCGACGGACGAAGTTCGAACCGACATATGCCTTTAAACTACCTGCCCAGCGGCGAGTTTTGATCACGGATGAAGGATATCGTAACACTCGCTTTGACGAGTCCTACAGAAAGGGGGACGTCTGGTTCCGAGACGTGGCTCTTTGGGAGAGACAGAATATGTTGTCAGCTAATATGCTGACAGGTCTTTCCACCATATGAAACAGGTCTCATTTAGTGTCAAAGGAGTCAGGTTTTATATATGTACATGTATTTTTCTCCTGTTCTCTTATCAAAGTAACTCGTTCAATACAACTCTTATTCGTAATAAGATTATAAAAGAAGTAGTTATATTAAGTTAAAAGCTTATAGAATTAAGTAGGAGGGAGTATAGGTTTATATGGACTAGCGCGTATGCCCCTCGGCTAATACCTGGACAAGCTCTACCATAACGGCGGTGGAGTGCCACACGGACGTACCACGTGACACCCTAACTAAAGGATCGTAGATGTGAGGGTTCGATTTCGAGTTTTACAGTGAATCGGGTTTGCACGTGATAGTCCCCCGCTTGAGTGAATAGGGGTACTTTGTAGACATTTAAGTAGTTCCACAGCGGGAGTTCTCTCCTTCTCTCCTTGCGGAAAATCTAATCAATATTCCACCCTGAAAGTAGAGGGCACCGTGTATAGGTGTTCAGTTAAGCCCTCCCGCGTATATAGAGGATAGAAGTATAAGGAACTTTTATAGTACAAGGTGTATTTACAGTACCTGTAGTCTATATCCGGCTTAGATGAGGCTCTATATGTACGCGTTTTATACTATTCATGGTGTTAATAATAGTAATTGATGTGTTTTGCGTAGCGAGGGTGGACTACACATCTCACATGCCTTGTTCCGAGTTATCTGTCCTTTTCAGTACACCAACAACAACAACCATGATTTAGTAGAATTGTCGTATATACGAACCCGAGACAAGCAATATAGTGAATAGACAAGGCGTAGTTCGTGCTTTAGATAGTGAATCTTATACGTAAAAATGTCGAATAAGCTGGCAACTTTATATGCGATTATATCGAATAATCGCAAATAAAATCGCAAAAAGAATCCAAATCATCCAATCCAAACAGGCCCTTAAACTCTTTTTTTTCTTTTCATTTTGTTTGTGCAAACCCTCCTATGAACAATTCAATCTTTAATCATCCCATCTCATCCCATCCCATCCTATCCCCATCATAGTACAGAACCTAACCAGACCCACAAATACAATTAAACTTATTCGTCGCAGGGTCACATGTGCTACCCGGTTGTGCCTACTCATTGAAGATATCAGCATCACTCCCATTATAAAAATCCCCACCAAATTCCCACCCAAAATTTCAAAAAAAAAATAGAAGAGAGAGAAAGAAAAAAAAAAGGCTCAGCAGATATCAAACCCCTCCTCCGCACTTTGAGATGAAGGTAGGTAGGTAGGTAGGTAGGCGGGATGGAGTGGGATGGCGTGGATGGATGGGAGATGGGAAGGAAGAAGGAAGAGGAAGAGAAACGTACATTCAGCCCCTTACCCCCGCAATATATCACGCAGTCGTTGAAGTCGCAATTGTTGTTTGCGGTTGCTGTTGCGGCGAGTGCTAGTGCTAGTGCTAACAACAAAGTGAAGGTCTTCATTTTGATCGTTGGGGATTTGGGATGGTGGTAACTTTGTGTTAAGAAGTTGTACGAAGGTAGTTGTGAGGGTGTGAGGGTGTGAGGGTGTTGCAAACTGGCTGGATCAGATCCAGAATTGGATGTGGAGGAGGGAAGGAGAGGAGAGGAGAGGGGGAATGGGGATTTAAAGACAAAATTTACGCCGGAAGGACGAGGTGTGCGAAATGGGATTCCCTTCGCATCTTCTTGCGATAAGTACTGGTAGTGTGTTTTATTTTTGTTAGTGTTTAGATTTACTTTGCTGTACTTGGCATCGCGATAGGTATTTCGTCACCAGCAAAATAAATGTAGCTTTTCTCCGGTGGCTATGGCGAGTACGAAGTTCTTCTACTATACGAAGTAACAGGGTAAAAACCCCTGGAAAAGTTACGTTCATTATGTCTGGGATGAAGACGAAGTAAAAGAGGGGTTATGCTCTATGAACCTTGTTTATAGTATTCGCTTATAGAAGTCCAAATCTCAATATTTATAATTGTACGGTATTACGCGGCGTTATACTAGTGGCCCGGTAAACATTCTAAACTTAAATATTTCTCGGGCTTTACGGTAAAGGTGTTATTTAGATAAGTTTATTGTGGATTTTAGTTCTCTTGAATGATTTACTTAGAGTTAGTGCGAGGTAATCTTCGTATAAAAGTTATTCGTATAAGTTATATAATTAGGCTTTTATCTAAACTATACTTTAAAAGAAGTAATATATACTAGTGTAACGAATACTCAAACTGGCTAACTAAACTTGGCTGGGTGTTCGCTGGTTGGTATGCTATGATAAGAAGAAGACTATCGGGTTGTTCACTTGGAAGTGAACTCGTTACTTGTATCAAAGATGTCAAACTAATATGATAAGATTGATAACTAAGTTGAGCACGAAGCTCCTATCTAATGGCAGACGTGCCAGTCTTATATAGAACCTTCGTGTTCCGCCGTCGCCTACATCGCCTGTCGATGCTGTCGACATATCGCCAGCATCGCCTGTCGATACTGGCGATGCAAATGGTCACGTGATTACAATGTAATGAAATCCCTGGATCGCTTAGCTAGTCTAAGCATCCCTATTTGCTATAAGAGATATGATAGTGCTCGACCTGTCAGGACGCCGCCTG